AATAGAACTGGCTTCAGGGGCACATTTGTGATGCCCTGTGAGGCTGAAGTAGCTGATGAGACAGTTTTAGGCCATTATCAAGGTTCCCATAGGTCACTACTGTTGGGTGGCCTCTATGTCAAGGCTTTCCTCCTCTATCATAAGCTGTCAGCAAATCAACAGCTGCTCTGTTGTCTTGAAATAAGATAATGCATTTCCTGCCAAGCAGGAGGCGGAGGTCCTCCCCGGAGCCTTATCTTTTAGGAGGTTGCCTCATCCAGGCAACTTTAGCTCATTACAGGGCACTAGCTGAAAACATATCCTGCTATTCCAGGCATCATACTAGTTGGAACTGTCTGCCCAGGAAACAGACAAGGAGATAATTCCTCAGCATTATTTTCCCTCAACGCTTAGACACATTGGCAGAACAGAATGGCTCTTGGTCCAGAACTCCATCGTGCATTTGTAAAGCGGGTGGGGTCTGGCAAAGGCACATGCAGTGGCCAAGGAGATCTGGGGATGTAAAAGACACAAACGCCAGTCTCACTAAGTTCAGCAGCACTGAACTAGGAAGACAAACTGAGCCCATTTCTCCTCTGGAGGCTGAAGAGATGGCTGACTGCTTCCGCAGAGGACCTGGGATCTCTTCCCAGACCTCATACCCGGTGGCTCACAACTACCTAGAACTCCAGTTCCAGAGGGGATCCAACACCCTCTTCTGGCCTCTGTGGACACCTATGTGTGTGTGGTGTGCATGCATTCTATCAGACAAACACACACACACAACTAACTAAATCTTTAAAAGACCACTCTGTTTCTCTTTGAAATGGATTGCTAGGGTCCCAGCTGAGATTTAGTGTGTGTGACTCCTTTGCACACATTCGGAGTCTGTTACTTGAGTTGTACAAAAGGGTGTGTAAGTGAAAAACAGTGGGCTTCATCTGACGTAGGACATTGGCTGCTCAGTGCCAAACACAGCTGTGCATGTCTGTAGCCTGACCAATCCAGAAGCTGAGGCAAGAACATTGCCTGGGCTCCAAGGCCAGCCTGGGATACACAGTGAGCTCTGGGACAGCCTGTGCTATAGAGCAAAATCCTGCCCAAATGTGATTAAATTGCCTAGTTAAAAATATATTTCTCTATATGCGTGTTTGAAAAAGTGGCAGTAATTTTAATTAGGGCGAGTCAGATTAAACTGAAGTAAAACCATCTTCCCTCTGTTAGGAAGCTATTTTTCCCCTCAGTGAGAATGCATGCCTTATTCTTATTTTTAGAAGATGATGGGTAATTTGTTGTTGTTGTTGTTTCATTTTGCTTTTGGTGCTTTTAGGATTGATCAGTTATCTCCAGGATCAGTCATTATAGAAGTACTTCTCAGGGTGAACCAAATGCTTGGGATGGATGTGCTTGCTGTCACACTGTGAAGGACACTGGCATCCCGTCTGCCTCCAACACAAGATCACAGAATAGAGGGATGGACCTGTGTCAGCAGTCCTGAGTTGCCCTTGTGCTTGCGGAAATGTAAATTGATAGCCAAGACCAGGCTTGTCATGGCCACAAAGTGGGCAAGGTAAATCGGGCAGTGAAGGAAAGGGATTATCTTCTTCCTGAGAGGAAGGATACCCTTTGTGACTCTTGGCATGTTTGGAACATGAAGATAAAGGGAAGTACACTTTGGCCTAACTAATAAACAACAGAATCGATGTCAGGCATCCATTTTAATGTTTGGCCTCTCTGGCCTTGAGCCTGCTCTCAGAGGAAATGCCTGAGCAAAAAAAAAAAAAAAAAAAAAAAAAAAAAAACAACCAAAAACAAAGACAAATCTTTTTGGCACTTCTGATCCCAGAGGAGAGTCCTGCCATATTCCCTAGCACACGGGTGATGGCAGTTGCTAAGGATCTGAGTCCTGTTTGCAGCTTGTGGTTTAGATGGTGTCCACGGTTAATAAAAGGCACCATTTTATTTATTTTAAACACGCTCTCACATAGCCTGTCTGTAGTCTGCCACCTTTTCCGTAGTCTGCCTGACTTTCCTAGTACATCTCAAAGCTTGCTCTTGTCTATGTTATATCAGGCCAATAACGGCATCACTTTAGTTTTTTTTTATGAGGTAGAAAGATAAAAGCAACTCTTTGTAGTCTATCGGGAAGGCTGTGAGAAGCAGGTGCAGACATGGATATGTTTGGCACCAAAGCCATCCCTCAGCTCTGCAGCGCGGGAACTGTAGGAAAGATAACTGAGTTTATCTTAAGTTTCTGGACTCGTAGAAGTGTGCAGTGCTGCAGGCAGGTGTGATGTTTAGCTACAACTGCAACTCGACATAACTCAGCATCACCTGGGAAGAGAGGGGGATGCTCACATTGACTTGGCTTTTGGATTGCGTGTAGTGGAAGGGATCACTTTAAGTTAACAAAATGGGAGGACCTGGCACACTGTGGGTGGCACACTGTGGGTGGCACTATTCCCTAGGCAGGGCATCCCGAACTGTCTATGAGGGAGGAAATCAAGCTAAGCCCAAGGGAGTAAGCAAGTGTGCTTGCTTCCTTTCTGCTCCTGACTGTAGTTGATCAGCTATTTGGAAGTGCCTGCCTCGACTTCCCCACGACGATGGATGTAATCTGGAATTGTCAGATGAAATAAACTCCTTTCTTTACCAAGTTGCTTTTTGTCAGAGTATTTTGTCACATCGATAGAAATGAAATCAGAACACAGAGTAAGACTGGAATAGAGCAATCAATAGAATGGTCGGTCAGAACGCCTAAATCCTGAAGCTTTGTCCTTCCAGGGCAACAAACACCCTCCAGGCATTGGCTAGGGAAGGTGAAGATACCTAGGGAGGAGTCAGAAATGCCACAGGTTCCTCCCTCTCCTCTTTCCTTGATAGGCTCTGCTTTACGTAGAGGACAAGACAGAAATACGGTTGGGAGACTGGAAAGTCATACTTCTCAAATACTTGCTAATGGGGATATTAAAAAATTCCACCAGATGATGAACAGCTGAGGGCATCCCTATGCCCGATGCCAGTGATGGGGAATAAGCAGGAGCCATTGTTCATTCAGCCATTAGTTATGGGAAAATAAGCAGAGGATAGAGTTTGCGTATAAAATGAGCTCAAGTATTCACAAGGTAGATAGAAAAACATCAAGATCAAAATTAACCCAGACTTTGAGTATCTGTGTGCCAGTGTGTGACTTTCTGAACCTTAGAGGCCATGCACAGTTATTTAGTCAGGCAGAAACAAAGCAGAGGAGGATAAACTTCCTTGTGGATCCTAGGTGGGTATTTCCATACTGTCTTAGAAGCTAGGGAACAAGTGGAAAATTCATGAATAAAAAATTTTCAGAATTTTGACTATCCAAATAGGGAGGGATTCATATAATTTGCATACCACAGAAAAGATCTGGTTGATATTTGGGTATTGGCATTTATCATCAGTTTCAGCTAATCAATGTTATGATAGGTCACAGAAGCCTGGCTTTATTATTGACTGGGACTTCCTCCAGTGGAACCTGGTCGAAGTTAATGTTTATGTATATATGCTGTGCCAGTTAGCTTTCTCGCACTGTGATAGACATCCTAACCCAAAGCAAGCTGGCAAAGGAAAGGGTTTATTTGGTTCACACTTCTGTGTCACAGCCCATCACCCCATCACTGAGTGAAGTCATGGCGGGAACCTGGAGGAAGGAATTGAAGCAGAGGCCATGGGAGAATGCGCAGAGGCCATGGGAGAATGCTGGGTGTTGCCATACCATGCTCAGACTTTTTCTGCACCACCCAGTATCACTCATCCAGGTGCAGCTTCCCATAGTAGCTTGGACTCTCTCAGATGGATTATATCAATCAAGAAAATTCCACATAGACTTGCCTATAATAGGACAATTTGTTGAAGGCGGTGTTTTTTTTTTATTTTTCAATTGAGATTCACTCTTTCCAGATGGCTCTAACTTGTATCAAGCTGATGAATGAAATAAACTAACCAACCAACCAACCTGCCAACCAACAAGCCTACCTACCAACCAACCAACCAGCCTACCTACCAACCAAACAACCAACAAGCCTACCTACCAACCAACCAACCAACCAGCCTACCTACCAACCAACCAACCAACCAGCCTACCTACCAACCAACCAACCAACCAGCCTACCAACCAACAAACCAACCAACCAACCAACCAACCAACCAATCAATCAACCCACTGACTGACCAACCAACCAGGCTACCTATCAACCAACCAGCTAACCATCCTGCCAACCAACAAGCCTACCTACCAACCAACTGACCAACTGACTAACCAAAATATCCTAACAGCATGCATACAATTTCATATAACTTCATATACAGTCACCTTTATACAGTTTGTCACACTAGGTCAACACTATAGTTTTTTATATATAAAATCCTTAGATATAAAATTTTAGAATACTTCATGGTTGGTTTTGATATTGATAAAGACAGTAACAATGGATTTTGAGAAGTTGTGATGAAGTTTCGTTCTAAGAAAAGTTTGGTGTTATAAATGCCCAATGTTCTTTCTTTGTACATTACCTTTTTATATATACACATATACATATGATTTCTTATGTGTATGATATATGTATATTGTTCCAATTGTATCTTTTTATGACTCATAAAGGATCTTTTTTTATTTTGCTCTTTAATCCTTTCCTGTTTTCTTTGGAGATATGGCCTCCCTGCTATATATCCTCATTGATGTAAAATTTGCTTTGCAGCCCAGGATGGCCTTTGCAATCATGATTCTCTTGCATCAGCCTCCTGAGTACTGGAGTTGTAGGAATATGCCAGTAGGCTTGGTTCAAAGGAATTTTTTTGGAGAGAGATCACTAACTGTAGTAAGCAAATTCCTGTATAAAAGTTGATGGGTAAGGAGGGATTTTCTATGTGTAGATGAAATGCAAAGTTCTGGAAATTAAACTCTCATTCTTCTTTCACTGGGCTTCCTTCCTGTCATATTTCTGTGAATTGGAGAAGCAAGTTTCAAATCCAAAGATTGTGTCACTTACCCATGCAGTCTGGGCCCCAGTGGCCTGGACAACATTGAGGTTGTAGGTAGTCTTTCCTACATATATGGCGGCATCCAGGGACAGACAGGGAGTATGTTCTGATCTCAATTGAATACCTTGAAGAATAAAGAGAGAACGTGAACTGATGATCATAAGGGTAGAGTTAACTCTGGGTGGTGGGATTGTCCTAGACTTTCTTTCTTTCTTTCTCTTTTTCTTTCTTTCTTTCTCTCTTTCTTTCTTCCTTCCTTCCTTCCTTCCTTCCTTTCTTTCTTTATTTATTTTGTGTGTGTGTGTTAGTGCATGCGTGTGTATATTTTCTATAGCATGAATGCATGTGGAGGCCAGAAGATGACTTTGTGGAGTTGGTTCTTTCCTTCAACCTTTATATAGATTCTAAGGACCAAACTCAAACCATCAGGCTTATACAGCAAGCACTTTTACTCATGGAGCCATCTTATCGATGCCAAGCCCTAGATTTTAATTTAGGTTTTTAACACACACACACACACACACACACACACACACACACACACACACACACACACACACACACTGCATATTAGGTAGAATAAATTAGGTAGAATAAGTTTAACAATGAATTATCCTTAATTGTTATATATGGCCAAGTAAAATTAAGAAACAATGAAAATGAAGGGTAGTCTAGTTTGCTTTTGTTAGTGTGTTTATCTATTGCTATCTATTCCTCCAAGCACCTTGAATGAGTAAGGGGTCTATTTGGCTGACACAAGTCTTAGTCCAACATTGAAGCAACTTAGGACAGGAACAGAAGCTTACTAACTTGCTCAGTCTTCATGGAAGAGTCTGCCAGACATTCTACAGGACACAGAGAAAAGTGACTGACAAACTGCCAATATAGGTGGATAGTTTAAACTTTCCTGCTTTGCTGAGGAGTCTGCCAGACACACTGTAGCCTATGGGCTAAAGATGGATGCCTCAACATTTCAAAAAAAAAAAAAAAAAAAAAAACCAAAAAAACAAAAAAACTTCACATTACTGTCCAGGCAGCGAGATGTCTCTGTCAATTCTAGAGTTTATATATTATTCTTCTGTGTCGATAGTTGTGATTATGTTTTTCCTTATTTATGATAAATAAAACCTTAGACTCACAAAGATAGGATAGATGATAAAATAGTTTCTTTAAAATGTGTCAAATGTTAATAGACTAAATATTGTTAGCTATAGTTCTTATTTGATAATTGTTGTCATATATTTTACTATGTTAAAGTTAAAACCCTTCTCTTTATTTAGGCAGAAAAGAGGAGATGATAGAGGATGTCCTTCTGTATATATGTTTCTCTTATTGGTTGATGGATAAAACACTGTTGGCCAATAAGTCAGGGAGATAGGTAGGTCTAGGAGACAAGGAGAATTCTGGGAAAGGTAGGCAGGAAAGCCTGCCAAAAACAGTTGCCATGTAAGCCATCAAAGAAGTAACAAATCCAGATCCTTCTCCGGTAAAATAAGACCATGTGGAAATACATAGATTAATAGAAGTGGGTTAAAATAATTAAGACAGAGCTAGCTAATAAGAAGCCCTAGACATTGGCATCTGCATGTTTATTTGAGACTGAAGCAACCATGGGACTAGCCACGACAGAAAGCTCAAGCAACATGTGTATGTGTGCATGTGTGTGCATGTGTATGTTGGAGAGCCAACCCAGCAGTTAAGAACACTTGCTGCTCTTCCAGAGGACCCAGGATAAATTTCCAGAACCCACAATGTGGCTCGCGAACATCTGTAACTCCAGTTTCAGAGGATCTGACACTGTCCCTTTGGCCTTTGTAGGCATTGCAAGCACATGGTGCACAGACATACACTCAGGCAAGAAAACCATACACATAAAATAAAAACAAATAAAAAAAGATCAGGTTGGGACCAAGTTTTTCCAGAGCAGTTCCTAAAACCCAGCTGACTAACCAACAGCAGTTACCTGCTTTGTGCACACCTACGTCAGGGAGAGCACTGACATTTTCTGAGATTATGCAATTTGGAAGCAACATGGATTAACTTGGTAGCATACTAGTGAAAAGGGAAAATGCTACGTGATCCTACTGAGATAAGGAAGCTCAGATAGGTGAATGGATGGATAGAAGCAGGGCAGAAAGTGGTTGTTGGGGTAACGTCTATGCCTGTAGCTAACAATGATGTCAACTTGAAACTGTAGGTGCACAGTTTGCAAAGGTGGGGGATTGCGGGTTAGTGCTCTTGTCAAGGAGAAAAAGAAGGTGCAGCAAAAACAGATGGGTGGAATTGGTGTGCTTATGGGGAGCTTGACATCATGGTGTTGCAGGTGTACTGGTCTCTAAGTGCATTGAAGTGTGTGCGTTAAACAGTTTTGTATGTTAACCAAACCTCTATAAAGTGATATTTTAAACATCAAATATATAAAGAAAAATAAAACAAAAGAACCAATCAAGCTTTGTTTTTTTTGTTGGTTTTAGCATAAATAATTGACAGACCAGTCTATCATTCTAAAATGAGCAATATACATGAAAAATTTTAGTGTGTGTGTGTGTGTGTGTGTGTGTTGGTAATAGTAATAGTAATAGTAATAGTAGCTAGAGTACATACAACCAAGTGACCCTTATCAAGAGAGTACAAAACATTCTTGTAAGAAGCCATGTAATTTTAACTTTGAATTTTGATATGATCTTAATAGGAAATGAGAGTCATGGCAAACAAGCTCTCACTCAGGTAACTCATTGTTTAACCAGTCCATGTACTTGCTAATTCTAGGCCAGTTAAAATTGAGAAACTTTGGTTTTATAATATTATATAATCATAACAGGCAAATGTGAATGCAAAATGTTATTATATAACAATGCTGTTTCATTTCACTCATGTTAAAATAGTAATTTGTCATTCTTGAATTAAAAGTGAACTCACTTAGGCTGGAAAATGGCTCAGTTGGTAGAGTGTCTGCTGTGCAAGCTTGAGGATCAGAGTCTGGATGCCCAGTGTCCTTAAAATGCTGGGCACTGTGGGGCCCTCCCGTAGCCACAGCACTGGAGGAACAGACCAGAGGCTTCCTAGAACTCTCTGGGCGGCTATTCCAGCTGAAACAGTGAGCTCCAGCTTCAATGAGAGGCCTTGTCTCAACATGTAAGATGGACAGTGACTGAGGAACACACCCAATGTCAATTCTGTCCTCACACATGAACACACACACACACACGCATGCACACACATATACACACACCAAACATGTACACATGTATATAGTACATAAATAAACTCAACTTAATTCATTGAACGATGCCTAATTTCTAAATTGGTTGGGTGAATACGTAGAAAGTTGTGTTAGCCTTTGAGCCGCCTAGTTACACCTGTTAGTAGGAGTGCAGATCCACTTGTCCCCTTCGGGAGAAAGCAGCCTTGAATTATGAGTTCTGGACCAAAAGTGACCTTCAGGAATGTAATACAGACAGTCCAACAAGGCTAACATTTTCCTATCCAACATCATTGGTTCTAATTAATATCAGGTCCCACAGCTTATTAGCAAAATAAACACTAGACCCAAGGCTTAACAAATTTCTTTTGCTTTTGAGAAAGGATCCTGATATGTAGCCAAGACGACCTACAAGTTTTTTTTTTTAGCATATTAAAATTAGAACTCTATTTTATTTATCCATGTAATCTGTCTATCTATCATCTGTCTATGGTGTATATGTGTGTTTCGTGCATGAGTGTGTAGATATGCATGCTCATACTCATGGATGGAGTCCAGGGCAGGATGTCAGGTGTTTCCCTCCATCGCTTTCTGCCTTGTCTCCTTGGAAGAGGGTCTCTCACTGACCTGGAAACTTGCCATTTGGGCTTGGCTGGCAGACCAGTCCAGAGACCCATCTTTCTCTGGCTCTCAGTGCTGGGTCACAGGCACCCATAGCTTCATCTTGTTTCTTACATGGGTGCTGAGGATTTGACCCCAGGTTCTCATGTGTGCACTGAGCCATCGCCCTGGTTCTAGAACCATTTTCAAATGAAACAAGATCCAATCAAACACATAGAAGGGCAAGGGGAAGAAAAGAAGAGTGCTTATGTACAAACACAATTTTGCATTTAAGTGTGAGTCAACAGTCACAACGATTTAGACTCAAGTCCATAGAATGTGAGTTACCTAAGTTTGGGCTCAGTGTAATCTTGGAGTAAGAGATAAATCCTGGAATTACTTTGCAGTGTTGGAGACAGGGTGCTCCCATTTGGAGTCACAATTGTTAGGGTACCAGGACGTGGAAAACTTATCTTCTCTTAACGAGTACCTGCAATCTCGAACCCCGACAGAGCCATTGGTAATCTTGACATAACCATCTGGACACTTGGCTTCAAAATTAACTGAGCAGGCTTGGCATTCCGTCCTGATTGTCAGAAAAGACTTCTTATCACACCTTTTTGCCTGTGCAAATACAGCAAAGAACACCAATTCCTGTTATCAGAGCCTGGCACAGTATCTTGTAAGGCTGCTAGTTTACCTGCTTCATCTCACTAAAGTCAGGAGTGGCTAATCAACGAGGTTGATTAGTACCAACTGGCTTGTTAGTGAGAGATCCCACAGGGTATTGCAGCTGGCTTGAATTCCAAGTGTTAGCACTTAGGCTTTGAACTGCTTTTTGTGACTGCTACCTCTGTTTGAAATGTTTGGTTCTTATCTGAGTTCTTCCTGAAGGCTTCAGAGACTTTGCAAACAAAACTAGGTTCTGAGAGGGCTTGGGAGACCAAGATGTCTCATAGCTGAGACTTGCTTGGGCAAATGGGTTCCTTTAAACAGCTTCAATTATTGACTTGCTAAGAGGTGCAAATTGTGAACAATATTTTTTTTTTAATTGATTCCCCAGCTGTTTAACTAAACCTAAAATTCATCCTGGTGGGACCGTTTTCCTTCACGGACCCGTGCAAAAGGAACTCCGACATGGCTTGCTTCTTTCAGTCTTCTCTGGAAAGAGTGCTGGATCAGTGGGCAATGTCTGCCATGGATGTGGGCGTGGACATGATACTGCTTCTGGAACCTGGAGCCCCACAAGGTAGGGTGATGTCAGGACTCACACTTGTCAAAGTGAGGAGCCTGAGCTGTCTTGCAGAGGACCTGTTTCATGTGGCTTAATGTTACAGTGGGTTATTTGAGATCATTGTCTATAGATCACTTGTCTTCAGGGATGCTGTGGATGCTATGGGAGCATCCATAGAAATATCTTCTGTGGGGCCAGTACTGTGCTAAAGGCTATGGTGGACAGTTTTCTGTTCTAGAGAGATGTGTAGGATTTAGATTTCTATTCAATCAGGCAGCATGAGAGCAAGGACATGTTGTTCATTGCTCTAGCCTGAGCCCTTAGAATGTTGACATGACACATGGCAGCGTTGTCCAGCAAATATGTGTTGATTAATTTAACCCACTGGGGACATTAGGAATAGCTATTTGACAACATAAGGTGGCCCAGGATTAACTGCTTAACTGAATGCCACAGGCAGACTTTGTCCCCTGTTGCTCCTGAGCTGACTTTCCTGGATAGGGTTCCCTGTCATTCATGTAGTCTGCAAAAGGCAGACTAAACCTCAGAGCACAAGGTGGAGCCTGGATCAAGTTCTGCATCCTGTGAAGGGTGCAGCCTTGAGCGAGCTCCTACTCTTTGTTATTAGCTGTAAAAGGGAGACATTAGTAGCCAACTTTCTGGGATGTGCCAGGTGCAAGCTGTCTGGCCTAGTGCCTGGAGGAGCATGGTAATGGATGATGGCTTCTGAAGCTCTACTCCATCCGTCCTCAGAGCCTGGTGGTGATCTGACCTCATGGGAATGTCCTGTCCCCTACCCAACATCTCTTCCCTGACACTATACTCATTCTTTCCTTTGCTCAACTTCAAGTCTTCCAGCAGTCTGTTATTGTCATTTTCCAGAAAAGGTTTTGAGTAGCCACACCCACCTCAAACATCCTTCTGCACTTCCTCCCAAGCACGGGTATGCTCCATCACAGTGAGTATGTGCTTACCCAGGGATACAACTCAGGCTCTCGCGAATGCTGGGGAAACACTGTACCAATGGAGCTGCAACTCTAGTGCCCCGATTGTTAGTCTTTGCTCTCTATTAAAGGATTTCAGACAGGGCAGGGTCATGCCTCATATTTCTTTGTCATCCTAGCAGGCCAGCACTGGTCAGGTGTGATGGAAACATCCTCACACCTGGACGTTCATCAGGACATGTAAAGTCTGCAGAGGGAGGCACCTTCCAGGCTCAGAGCAAAGTATGGTTGTGCCGCCTCCCAAAGGTGTCATTTGCATTGCTCCAGAGAGTAGGGCAAGGGTCACAGCTGTCATCGCAGAGGTGGTGAAGGTGAGGAACGAAGATGGATTGGAATATGCAATGACTTGCCCAGGGTCACATATGAGTTATCAGCCTCTTGGCTCCTTAATTGGCCCTTTCTCCAAGCACCCACGTGGCATAGAAAAAAACAACCTCGACTTTTACTAGAATCTTCCATTTGGTGATCATTGTGAACCAATGTGCCCCTGGGTATTATTGTAGAATATTGAGCAACACTCTCTTTAACTCTAGTGATGTGATCCAATATTTCTAAAAGCAGGGTTTCATTTACACTGGAGTCCCTCTTTGGGTAGATGGGTAAGTTGATGTCATGTTTATTTTTCCTTCTTAATATGCCCAATTTAACTTCATTTAAAGAAATTCTTTGGGCTGGGGATGCAGCTCAGTTCATAGAGTACTCTTCCAGCATACTCAAAGACCTGGGTTCAATCCCAGGATATATATATATATATCCATATATATATATCCATATATATATATATATATTCATATATATATATGGATATACACACACACACACACATCTGGCTTTCAAATTACTGTGTCCAAATGGAATGACTATTTTATAAACTTAAACCAATGGAAAGAACAAACTCAGCTTCGAATGGCAGTCCAGGCTGAGTGTCTGCGCAGAAGCAAGCCCTCCATGCTGAAGTTAATGGTGACAGCAATGTCTACCATTTGCAGAGCTCTGTCTTGGGAGCAATGGAAGCTTGGAGAGTAGTCAACTTACTTGCTTGAGGCTAGTGCAATGGACAGCCCTATGGCCCTTCCTCTGAAAATGTAGATCAAATGTAGCCTTCTCTAACTTCTGGGCTGGAGAGGCACCCATCATGTAATTTGCCATGTTCTCAGAGAGGTGCCCTCAGAGCACAGCTAGAGTGGACTGGCGTCAGCTGCAGCTCTGTCTGCTGCTGAGATCAGATACTCCCAACCCGTCTTAAATAAATCACCCCAGATTGCTGCTCACTGAGATTCAATCTGCGGTGGTGCCTGTGTGAGCGACTCTGGGGTCCTGAGTACTGATGTACTGAATGAGGCCCAAAGGAAGGTCACCATAGTCCTGCACTACAGCCTGAGGAGGGCAGAAGGCACGTGTGAGTGCCTGATGGGTTCGGGAAATGTTTCTGATGATTGCTTTCATCAACAAGGCATCATCAATCTACCCTGGAATTCCCTTGGGCACCTTCCCACAGCAGCGCTTAGTTTCTACATTTGGGAAGATGGGATGGGGGTACCCACAGTACCAGGTGGCCCAGAGAAAACCCAGAGCATGCAGCTCTGTCAGGGGAAGAGAGACGTCAGCACTGAAATCAGAGATTCCAGCTTCAGAGAAATAGCCGGCGCAGTGCATCATCATACAAGGACAGCATCTCATGTTCAGGAACTTATTCTGTGAGTTTTCTCTTGACTTTTATGAAGTCCGGGCAGGGAATTTTGCCCAAGACAATGCGGGAAAACAAAGACATCAGCAAGTGAAAACACAGGAAAGTTTTTCTTACCTGCCCTGTGGCTTCAGCTGGGGAGCAGGTATTTTGCACAAGGAACCCCAGGAAGAGGGGAATTAAAGGCTGTATCATGCTGAGGAAATGCTGCCTCCTTCCCTTGCCAGGCCAGGGCAGGGTGGGTTAGCTATTTTCACTTGCGTTGATGAGTTCCCGGGGAGTTCTTTCTCATGCCCCTGTCTTCTTTCGAATCCTTTCCTTCCTCTGGTTAGAAGGGAGATAAGATGAGGCCTGGTGGGGTTTCCACAGGAGCTGGGTGGGACAGGCCAGTCTGAGCTGTATATAAGTCCTGGCTGAGTGACAGGATTTCCTGGAGGGGCCGAGGCAGAGACCTGACTGGGGTTTCTGTGCCTTGCGAAACTCCCAGGGATGCGTGGTCTCCGTCCGATCCATCACTGTGCCCACTTCTGCTGCCTCGATGCTCTTCCCACATCACACCCTGGGTCATCCTGGGCCTGTCTGTCCCAGCATATAGGTTCAGGGGTTCTGTAGGGAGAATTTGTGGGAGGGTGTATCACTGTGCTGCGCAGTCCCAGGCTCAGAGGGAATGTTCCAAAAGCCCGGGCCCTGCCTTGGATGATGATGGAGCCCTCATCCACCTGAGGCTGTCAAAGTTCATGTTGGTGCCAGAGGTTGGGGTTTCCACTCACCCTTTCTGCCCTTCAGGGTTGTTCAAGCAGTGAGTGGCTGAGCCTGTCCCTGCAGTCTAGCCCTTCAAGGCTGAGTCTAATGCTATGTCTTCCAGGAAGACGCCCTCTCCTCTTCTTCCTGACTGTTGTGCACCATGAAACAAAAGCCCAGTCACACACATTGCAGCCCATCTGTGTGTCTGTCTCCCACACAAGTTGTGAATTTCTTGAGGACAGAGGCACAGTGTTCCCTTTTCTGTACCCCATGAAGCCTGGAGCAGAAACCCAGGCTTGGAAAAAATAAAAATAACAACTAACACTCTGCAAACTTACCCCATGCCAGGCCCTGTTCTGATCCTGTCAGTTCAGGCAGCCCAAAATTCCAGCATTTGATGTTTAAGTTAAGAGTGATCTGTGGTTGTGTGGTTTGCCCAGACTAGCTGCTGTCTCCTCATTGTCAAAATGAGACATTGCCACAGAGGGCCTGTGGTTGATGCTGGACCTGCCTGAGGCGCACTTTTCATCCCAGGCCAGCTTGGTCTACATAGAGAACTCCTGGCCAGCTAAGGCTGTTTAGTGAGACCCTACCTTAAAGTGAGCAGGGCCGATGGTCAGAGCGGACAGAGGTGACTCACCTGTACTGAAAGCCCATTGGCCACTCTGGTGTCTTCGTCATTTCAGCATAGCATAACGTGGGCAAATTGGCTCATGGGAGGTTTCAAGCCTTGTGTAAAGGATATTCCTCTAGCAGGATGGATTGCAGGGGTGTACTGATGTTCCCCCGTCAAGTCATGTGGGATTGCTTCAGCCCCTCAAAATCACACTGTCAAAAGCACCCTAGGATATTGAGGCAGGCAAATCAGTAGGAGTGAGTTGAAGCTAATAATTCCTTGCCATGCTGGGGTTTTACTGTAGTATTTCACCAGCCTGCGGAGGTCAGATGAACCAAACCAGCCTTTGACCTCTTCAAGGTCAGAGGTCAGCTAAAGCCAACATATGCACATGCATCCGTTTAGCTCCAACTGTTGTTAGAAACTATCCCAAAATTTATATCTTCACAGACAGACGATTTTTTTAGTCCATTGCCACTTCTTGGGGGGACTAATTATTTTTAAAGGAGAATTAATATCACGAGGTATCACACACTGAGAGTCCAGAGTCTGCCGGTTTCAGGTGGAATGCTTATGTCTTGGGTTGGGTGCACACTGGGGCCAACCACTGCCTGTGGGTGATGCCTCCTATGATGCACAGGAGAATGAAGGCTGCTTGGATAGAGGTCCTCGCCTGTGACTGTCTCTGTCGTTGCCTGGATCCTCAGAACAGTGCTCTGCCCTAGTAAATCAATGCTCCAGGTTGCTATTAGGTGCTGACATGGCTGAAGGATTTCCTGAGCACTCATCAGGTCCTGGGTTTTTGAGGAGTCAGCTTCCCTAAGCATGGGATGCATCCAACACGTGTATCCTCGCTCTCAAGGCCCTTTCCTTTTCCTCTGTTAGCTTAGATCTTTGCACACAGCAAACCTTGGTGTGTGTGTGTGTGTGTGTGTGTGTGTGTGTGTGTGTGTGTGTGTGTGTGTGATATTTTTATTTTTCCTTTTTGTGGAAGCCAGTCAGCTGGTCTTGTTGTAAGCAAAATTGTAAAGTAGGCAAACTTTCTTCCAACTCCAGTGCTCGCTGTTTCTTTCTGTATTGCCCCCTTCCTCTCCATTCAGTCATTTAGCCAATCATTAGACAGTGGGCACGCAGTCACCTACCACATCCTTCTGGTGTGCATGTTATTCCACGGCAGACAGAGGTTACTTAATACATAGGAATAGTGAATGTTTACCATCCATCCAGTTGTTCAGTGTCTGTTTTAAACAAAGTCTCGTATATACCCCAGAAAGGGTTTGTATTCATCTTCTTGCATCCAGTTCCTAAGTGTGGGATTACGGCATGCACCATCACACCCAGCTTTGTGGTGATGCTCTTACGTCAACCTCTCATGTGCTGGGATTACAGCCTGTGCCACCTGAATCAATTCATTCATTTGTCTTGCTCAAGGTTACTGCGCACCTGACAATGTGCTAAACTCGTGTGGATAGATGTAGAGGTCAAAGATAAAGAAAGGCCCATTCCATTCCACGGAGGATGACTGAGCACACACACTGTTAGACCAGGAACTCTGAGAGAAATTTTAGCTCACAATTGTGTGTGCAGCCCATCCTAAATCCTAAACAAATCTAAGTCAACATTCGTCTAAGTTTTGTTCTGATCTCTGAATGGAGAGGACCTTCTTGTTTCCTTGGATCTGCTAGAGACGAGTACATCCTTTAGTCCTTGGCTGTCATCTTTCTCCTTTGCTTTCTATTCCCCGCATGACCTCAATGTAAAATCTGATGCATACTCTGCAGTCACCATCTTCCCCTGCCCTGCCCCTATAGGAACAGAACTTGGAACACTTGGAGCCCGCTGGCAGGAACTCAGTATCATCTGATTTCCAAGCAATATTTATGTCCCATTCATTTGCAACAATGGTTCAGACAATACTCCAGGATAACAGCAGAGCTGACACACCAGTATGAGGTGGCTGTGACTTCATGAAGCCCTGTGGTCAGGGACGACAATCAATCAAGTGTTTCCTGTTTCTGCGTTTGTTCAGGTATTTCATTCCTGCAAAACAAAACAACCCCCCCCCCAGAAACCAAAACAACAATAACAACAACAAAAGCCTGCTTACTGGTGAACACACTGTGTCACCATAATATCATGGTGTCAGATGCTGGTTTTAACCCAGCACATCTCTTCAGACTCAAGGTCAGCAAAACTTTCTCTTTTAGGCTTTATAGGTCATAAGCGTATCTGTAAGCTACATTATTTCTTGAAATATGGTCAGCAACTATGAATGGGTTGTGCTTCAGTAAATCTATTTACAAAATGGGTGGGGTGGGCTGGGCAGTCTTTTCCATGTGGCTGTTAATTTGGGTACTTCTGCTTTAGCTAAATTGTGACCATAATTTATCTCAATCCACAGTAAACCTCATTGTCTCTTTGCTCTTAAAGTTTCATATAGCAGAGGAAGACACGGAGGGACACAGCTTTAATCCCAGAACTCACAAGGCAGAGATAGGAAGATCTGTATGAGTTTGAGGCCAGCCTGGTCTACAAAGAGTTCCAGGCCAGCCGGAACCACATAACAAGATCCTGTCTCAACAACAACAACAACAACAACAAATAGGCTTTTAGAACAGAGCATAGAGGGTAATCAGATGAGTTCAGCTAACTGATTTCTATCTCAAGTACTACAGTTTATTTCTTACTCAGTAGTAATAGCAGTGTCATCAACGGTAACTGTAACAGCAGAAGTGATATATCATCTCTTAGTCGCTGTTCAAATCATGTTCAGGTTTGTAAGTCATTTCCTCTGAAAGTGTTAGGGAAAAGGATGAATATATGGTAAAGAGGAGGTTCCGGTAACAGGGATAAAACAGTGGTTTTGGATGGTTTTCCAGTGTTACATACATTCTGGTAAAATTAATAACGCCTAATGTTCCTGGAGCTTTTCTGAGGGCCTGGGTGCAGTACCAAGTCTCCACCGCACTTTGTTTAACTCAGCCTTCTGCATCCACTTGAGGAAGATGTGGATTTTTATATGCATTTTACTGCTGAGACAGTGAAGTTTAAAATAGTCAGAAACTTTCCCCCAGCTGGCATGCGTGGAGTTGAGACTTGCTTGTGTCTGCAAAGGGGACGTTCTATTTGCCATATCCTTTTGTTTGGACAAGAAGAGAATGAAGAAAACCCACCTGTCAGTAAAGTGAGCTTTACTCTGATTGTCCTTACCTCAAAAGGAACAGTTTTTTGCTACTGGCCCAGAATTTTCAGATGGCATAACCCAAGAGCTCGAGTGTCTGAGCTTTGGCATCGTGGTGGCTGTCAGGCACAACCACAGTGTCCTAGAGGCCTAATTAAATCAGCAGAACAATAGGATGTGTTGAAACTTTAAGTGCAGCTGTACTGCGGAGGAATGTCGCCTGTGGGATGCAGGCCCTGGCCTTTGCTGGGCGGTGCTGAGGCAGCTCTGGGCAGAGGGCACACGCTGCCTCCCGGCCTCCCGTTCCTGGAATGTGGCCGGCAGCTGACAGCCACCCTGCTTGTCTGGAAAGGGGTGGCCTTAACCATAGATGAGGTCTTGAAAGCGGCCTCTGTGCATGTCCTTTTGTTGTGTGGCTCAAAAGAGTCGGTCAGCTGGCGCATTGCTGCCAACAAAAGGGAGCTGTCTTTGAACAGGGGCAGGGCTCCCTGAGAGGTGATGGGTGTGTGCGCGTGCATGCGCCTCTCTTCATATCTCTCTCTCTCTCTCTCTCTCTCTCTCTCTCTCTCTCTCTCTCTCTCTCTCTCTCTCTCTCTCTCTGTGCATCCACCTCCCTTCAGTTAGCAGTAGTATCAGTTTGCCCTGGGAAAAGTA